GTAAGTTAGCTGACCTTTTGATAAACTTATCAAAAGTACTAGATACAAAAGCGTCTGACATCACTGACATAAAGCTATACTAGTTATGAAACAATCAAGTAACACGGTTCAGTTGCTTCCAGCAAGCGAGCAGCTTTGTCGATTTGGCGAGAAATATCGCCGAAATGACCTTTACAGCTGGATTATCGGTTACAAATTACTCTGCGAAAATGCAGCAAAATTGATAGGGAATGGTAAAAATGTTCTTCAGTTATCAAATAGAAACTTTCCTGGTGTGTTGACTGGTCACCAGGTTTTCAAGAAATATATCGATGGGGAGTGGGGGATGGGGATCTGTCAGGCTTCCTCTCCGTGATCCGACGGTTCAAATTAAGATATAACGTCCCCCCCCCCCCCCCCCTCCAGCATGATAAGCTCTCCATGGATCACGACCAGGCCGGTCCAGAAATCAGCGCACAGCAGCGCGGCGTTCCGCCTCGCCGCCGCGGGAAACAGCCCTGGCCGCCGGCGCCCGCCCCAAACATGACCTCGATGGCGTTCGGCCAGTGGCGCGGAGGGGCGGGGGACGGCCGCCTGGCGTTCCGGTCAAGGCAATTCGCTTCGAGTTAATCACTCCAGGTTTAATTGCACAATGCAGGCGCGCCCACATGGGCCAGGAATTAAAGCCGTGTGTCGGCTTCGGGGAGAGGGCGTCACGTGCTCCGCTTTCGGTGCGTAGAATCGAGGAGAACCATGCTAATGGTGGTAATACTGTGTATACAACTTTGAGGGTGATACATATACATACATACATATATATATATATATATATATATATATATATATATATATATATATATATATATATATTATTTATTCTAAGTACAAGACAGCCTCTTTGGCTATTTAGACCCGCTCTTCTGTGTATCACGTGCTGGTTGACTGATGGTCAGGTACGCCACCGAGGTACAGATACAAGTCAACCTATTGCGTAACGCAGCTAATACTGTATAAGCGCCGATGCATCTGACCTGACTTGCATTGCAGGCGTTAACTAGTCCACGCGTCGTTTTTAGCCTCCAGCTGACCTTGCAGTGATGCATGTTCTTAAGACAACGCCAGCATGTCCTCAATGAATTTATGTGTCACGCATGTGTCAGTGTTTTCCGCCGGAGGCTGAGTCGCCCTGTACTGCGTTCAAATCAAGCTCAGCTGAGAACGTTCTATGTCACGCCGCCTGCTGAATCATTGAGAACACTTGCTAAATCTGACTCTTCCCACCTGAGAAGGGAGTCACCGACGCTGGCCGTCGGTGGCCAGCGCATATGTGTCCGCACCAGCGTAACAGCCCAGCCCTCCGCGCGACCCTCTGCCCCGCGGGGAGACTGGCGGCGAGTTGGTGGCCGCGAGGGAAATCAGGCAGCCCTCACGCGGCGCCCTCGCGTCGCCAATTGTCCCGCTGCACGCGCTCTGCGACTGCAAGTGCTTTACGGTGCGCCTTCCTCCGCCCAAGGACGGGGGGAGAGGCGGGCGCGGGCGGCGCGCATTCTGGCGCGCCTGCGCTGGCCATTGCTATTCCACGCGGCTCCCGCGTTCGACAAACACCATTTCTTCTGATGACGTCACGCGGGTACTGCGCCTGCACCGCGCGGGGACGGGCCTTCCCCACGAGCGATAAGTTGGGGAGCATCGAGGATTTTGAAGCATTGATTTCTATGCAATGTGCAACGGACATGATGTTCGATTCCGCAAAGTTTGAGAACCCCGTGTTTGAGACCCCGTGCGTTTCTCGACCTGTGGTTGGGGGAGCCGGCGCTCTTGAGCACTTGATGTCTTCCACTGCAGGTAGAGAGAGAGAGAGAGAGAGAGAGAGAGAGAGAGAGAGAGAGAGAGAGAGAGAGAGAGAGAGAGAGAGAGAGAGAGAGAGAGAGAGAGAGAGAGAGAGGGGGGGGGGCTACGCGTTTTCAGAGACGCTCCGCAGTGAACAAGGCTTACCGCAAGACCTCAGACCACGAACGACGGCTGCAGGTCATCCCTCAGATCTTTAAAACAATCTCCGCTCCGCTCACCGTTGCGTACCATCTAATCAACGACGCTCAGTTCCTATCAACTTAAGAATTCGTGATTTATCTACCAGTAATTTCTACCCCAAGTCTAGCGCAACCGTACTTTAACGTTTTGATCTCTGACGAACCAATGATTTTGCGCAGTGAGTCGCATTTGTCCGAAGGACACTTTGTTTTGTGAAAAGTGTAGCACGGGATCTCTGCGTCGGATCTTGTGAAACATTTGCTTTGCAAAAATTAGTCTCTGTTCTTGCACCACTAACCTAAAAACCTAAAGCATACCACCTAAAAAGTTTGGTCACGTATGTTAAAGCACGGTTTGGTCCCAGAGTAGAGATAATAAAGTAAAGTTTGTTAGACACAGCATCTGTTTACTAGTTGCGACCACAGATCCTGATGAAAGAATACCACGCCCATTATAACGTCATTCGGAAAAATGAAGCAATTCAGGGATTTGGAGATAACTGGCATTACCACACGAAATGGATGTGCCTCATCTAGATACGGAACATTTTTTTGCGAACGTTTCACAACAGGCACAAGTATACATGAATATTGATTTACACGCGCTTATGAAAGTTCTGCACATTTGAATCTACTATTGGAATGCACGCATTCCAATATCTTTACACCATCAGCAAACTGGCTGCCCAGCTTTCAAATGGGCCCGCCAGGAAAACTCCGCAGCCTTATACCGTCAAACGCATCGTTAGCACAAATGATAAGTATGCTGTTTGAAGTCCCGTGTCGTTATCACCAGCGCACCGCCGTGCTCCGGCAGCAGCGTTCTGATTCGGGAGTCGTGACCTCTCGGAACAGAGGCCATTTAACGCCGGCGTGGCCTCAGACAGTCCGTCTCGGCCCGCGGGCTCCGTGAGAAGAACGGTTATGATGGCGGCGCGCGGCTTCCAATGGCAATCGAAGGGAGCTGCACAGCGCATCTGGAGCGTGGCATATATGGTGGCTGGTTAGGAGAGTCGACTGACCCGACGTGATCAGCTGGGAAATGGACTTTACGACCGACGCGTCCCATAACACACACAATCGTGATGGCCAGAGCAGTTTTTCGTCTGTCCAGCACACCTGATGCTGCCCTCCACTGCAACAGAAACACCGGTGGCATGAAGCTAACGCTCAACAGGTGTGAGGCCGCTGGCGCTACGTTCAGGGCGGCCTCTAATAGCACGTTGTTGCACCCCAAACCCACCACCAACTCTGCGTCTATCTAACATGCGGTCGGACTGCCCATTTGGGTGAGCCGATCCAATTCATTGAATAATTTTGCTGACGGCGCTTTGCCAGAGAGGGCTGAAGAGGGCTCTTTTTGCCGCGCAGCTCAGCGCCGCAACTTCCCCCGGGTCGCGTTGATCCTCCTTGACCGGTTACCAGTTGATCTTTTGACTTGATCGGGTCAGATCGTGCGCCTGGCATACGCCTCATAGCTAGTGGTGCTTGATTGCAAGTACACCATCTAAATCGAGGGGGAGGTGCATAACGACACAGGAGACTTCATCACTTGACGACATAGTGGGCTTCCCTTTATGAGGCAATCAGCTTGTGTTGTCAAAATAAGGCGAATGTTCCACAAGATGGCTTGGATATATTCGCCTAATGTCAAAATGCGTTGGTATTGCGTAAGGCATATGATAGCTTGCCTGTGCGGTAGAGGTATCATTTTGTGTGCAGAAAAAACTGATAGATAGCTCTTGAAACATTACGCTGAATTCACACTGACGCGTGAGTTTTCGCCTCGGGGAATGATTCGCTTTATGTTTTTTAGTGTCATTGTTTGATGAGTTTGAAGAAGAGAGAGGTTAAAAACATATGTAGAAAAAAACATAGACGGGAGAATGAGAAAGGTATATATAGCCAAATATAACACAGAGAACGTTTCGTAGGGTGAAGACTGAAATTTCCATGCTTTGGAAATTCGAGCCCACGTTGGAAGGCCTTCGACCCAACTTGTGGGCAGATAATGAAATCAAGGTGGAATTCTGGAAAGCGTTTGTGAGAACGAATTAGTCAACCGTCTAATCGACGCTTATCCTCGCTAACAGCTCACAGGGGCAAATGCAACCTCCTGGGAAAGCTGTAATTCATAGACTAGGTCTGAATGTATTCAGTTTTGCTTGTGGTAATTCGTATACTCTGGGTGCAACTCCCAAATATTTTCCATGTTTAGAATGTCTGGACATGTACCTGTGCTTAAAGTCCGACCAAGAACAGGAAACCGAGTAGTGCATACCGGATGCATTCTGTCTGTGACCATCGTAACTGTGCTAGTTACACTCGGTGCGTGACAATCGTAACTGTGCTAGTTACACTCGGTACGTGACCATCGTAACTGTGCTAGTTACACGCGGTACGTGACCATCGTAACTGTGCTAGTTACACTCGGTACGTGACCATCGTAACTGTGCTAGTTACACTCGGTACGTGACCGTCGTAACTGTGCTAGTTACACTCGGTACGCGACCATCGTAACTGTGCTAGTTACACGCGGTACGTGACCATCGTAACTGTGCTAGTTACACTCGGTACGTGACCATCGTAACTGTGCTAGTTACACTCGGTACGTGACCATCGTAACTGTGCTAGTTACACTCGGTATGTGACTAACTGTGCTAGATACACTCGGTATGTGACCATCGTAACTGTGCTAGGTACACTCGATATGTGACCGTCGTAGCTGTGCTAGTTACACTCGATACGTGACCATCGTAACTGTTCTAGTTACATTCGGTATGTGACCATCGTAACTGTGCTAGATACACTCGGTATGTGACCATCGTAACTGTGCTAGGTACACTCGGTATGTGACCATCGTAACTGTGCCAGTTACACTCGGTATGTGACCATCGTAACTGTGTTAGTTGCACTCGGTATGTGACCATCGTAAATGTCAAGTAACTGTCAACTGTCTGACAAGTCTGACCCCTGGTGACCCTGTTGCAGTGGCCACCGCGCCGGAGAGGAAGTCACCGCCAGCTGGCGACCCAGCGCCGCCCGCGGGCAAGAAGGCTCTGAGCAGTAAGCAGGAGCCGCTAGCTCCTCAGTGTGACGACGTAGCTTCCGCCTCCTCTCTAGACGCCCGCCACGGTAAAACGCTCCCCGCACCCCGGGCCGGCCGGGGCGGCTGGGCTGGGCTGGGGCAGCTGGGGCAGCTGGGCCGGCTGAGGCCGGGTGAGGCCGACACGATGCCGTGGGCGGGTGGTCGCGCCACGGCCCAGGCCAGCCTGGCTTGTGCGCTTTTTGGCATGGGCGAAAGAGCGCAGAGATAACTTGAACGATGCGTGAGGTGGCAGTGACTCTTGGTAGGGCAAGTCCCGTTGCAGTAAAGGGCTTTAAGCGCTAGCTTTGGTGTTTGCTGAACACTATCATTGCATGCGCCACAATGTAGCTTAAAGTAATGAGCTATCTAGAATTACGAGAATTTAAAACTTGTAAGGTGTAAGGGCTCGGTCATCTTGAAAGGACGCAAAATATGTTTTATCGAGATCAGCGGGGGAACATGCTCACGGATGGGACAGTAAAATGGCCTGAGCAGTATCATGGTATCACTTGCATCTACTACTCGGGCCACAGGTCTGTTTTGCTGCTTCCCTGTGCTGTACCTGTGTACCATGTGTTAAATGGTGTAAACTTCTCGCTTCTCGCTCTGTTGCCATGTGCTTTGACTTAAACGCATCACCATGGGTGGTTTTAAAACTGCTTATAAACAAGTGCTTTGGCACTTGCCCTTCGCTGTTGTCAATCTCTCCTTTGCTGGATAGCACCGTGTAGTTTCTGATTTCGTAAGCATCCCATCTTCACCTGCCTGGTGTTTATGATGGAAACCAAACACCTGGAGTCCATACAGTTTCGAGTCTCCCATGTGCTGGCTCATTGCCGTGAGGCGGCCACGGATGCGCAGTCGTTGGGCCAGTTGGGCGCTACATTTCTCCGTTGTGATTTACACGTTAAGTTCGGGCTATCTCCTGGCCTTGTACTCGTTCGTGCTTTGCCGTGTATATATGTGTAACCGTGCGGTGTATTCTCCTCCAGACACGCGCGAGCTTCCCACCTGCATGGATGGACGCGTAACTCAGCGGCTAGAGTCAGAGGCAGGCAGCCATTCGGAGCTCTGTCGACGGAATGCCGGTGCTTGCGACCTTAACGCGTTTGTCTATTTGGATTGTAGAGCGAGCTTTCGTGTTCGTTTGGCAGGCCAGTCTGAATGCGTTACCATCTTTGCGTATGGATGGCACATGGTTAGTACAGACCCATGTAACCTGCATTACTAAATTCAACCCGATGGATATCTCGTTGCCAGTGGGGGCCCAAGACGGCGAGCTCTTTCACATTCTCTCGTGTTGTTAGAACGCCTGTTGTGACTGAGAAACGGGCACAGTGACCTCTTTCGCGTTGAATCTGGAGGCCTCTGCCCGACCAGTCTGGAGCATAACAATGGGCAACTGGCATATGCTGGAAACAGGACATATTACAACGGAGTAAATTACTAACAAATTCCGTGTCTGCCGCACCATAAACAACAGACATCAGCTGCCATAGAAACGAGATAACCACTAACCTTTGACCTCGACATTGGATACCAGATGCTGAACAAATGTAGCGCAGTCGAGCACGTAATATTCGCCGAAGACAGCAGGCATTGAAGAACTCTGTCCGGCTGTTTCTGACCTTGACGCATTCAGTTCACACATTCTGCAGCAGGCGGATTTGGTCCGTCCACGCCATGTTGTCGGCCGCTTTCGCCACGTGCGACCGCTGCTCTAGGTCGGACACCTTCATCTCCGGATACCCTGACGTCTGGTCAGCGGCTCACCGGACCTGCGTCCGCCCCTCCCCCCCCCCCCTTCCTCAGGACGCCGGCGGTAAGCAGACAACAGCGGCCCCCTGACCCGCCGCGCCTGTTCCAGAACAAGGCTCGCTGACGATCTTACGGCGCAACAACACGTTCGGCAAGCGGCGGACCGAAGCCGCGACTCGTCTCGATGCTCTCCGACAGCAGCGAGCTCCTGCAGCCGCGGGTCCAAGACTCGGAGGCGTGCGGCCGGGCGGCCGTCAGGTGGGTCAGCATCGCCACCCCCGGGTCTCGGAGAGGAGTCGCCGGCGGCCATCACGGCGGCGGGGGCGGCGAGGAGCGTCGCCAGCCGACGTGCGATCGATGCCGCCGAAGCTGACGCTGACGCCGCCGAAGCTGACACCCGATAGCTGGCGTATGCAGAGAGGCCGGCCTGGCCGGGCCGAGGAGGCCGACGTGCGCCGACTGGATGGCTCGGATTACTCGAACTCAGCCGACTGATGCCACCGTAATGGGCCCGCTTAAAACCGGCGAAATTTAAGGCGGCGCCCGGCAATGCGACGTGCAGGGCGGCAGGCGCCGTGAGCCCAGAAATGACTCGCTCCGTAATGCCAGCTTCGGAGTCGTTACTCCGACAAATGGACTGGCCCTCCGGAATGCAATTATGGTGCGCTGATACCGACTGGGGTCTCCAGGGGCGGCTTAGCCCACGCGCCACGCCGAAGGCCCCTCGTGCGCTGCAGGGGGGGGGGGCGTCCTTTGCCCCGGTCAGGTTTGTAGGTGCTTGGGGCTAGGTAGCCGCTCGCACTGTCATCGCTCATCCCAGTGATGTTACGTCATCCCGGTGCCACGTTTTGAGGCGGTGAATTTCAGACGCAGTCGTCTCAGCTCGGCGAACTTCGCGGCCATAATGCCGGCCCACGTGCTCCAAGTCCGAACTCGGCGCACAGTGGGCTTAACAGGCATCGTTAAAAATCGATAGAGCCAACGCGAATTCAGCGCGCCAACCTCGATCTCGATGTCAGGTGTAGCGCACCGTCGGAAAAGTTACTTTTCGGCTGAAAGCCTATGCTTTTGTGCGCCCCGCTCGAGGTCGTATTCGCAAACTACTGACAGAGGGCTTTGTGACTTGCCGGGATACGCCAGCGCGACGCTGCAGTCAAAACAGACTGGATATGTCATTCGCACGGTCCTGCAGGTAAACAGACGTCTCCACGGACGTCGAGCTGCTCCTGATCTTGTGTTGGAGGGATTTCCAGCGCAAATTAGCGATTGAGATCATCAACGGATTCATGCCGCGCGAAATCGCTGAATTCATAGCATGATTATATTCATAGCACATCATATAGCAGGCTTCGGTCAGATCCTCCTAGGTTCATGCAAAATGGGGTGACATGAAAAGGGCTGAAAAGGGACCGGGAAGAGCGCTGCACCAAGGCCCAAGAATGCGAGCAGAATGGAGGCTCATAGTCATACAATCCCGTCACACGGGCGTGAGACTCCGTGATGACATTATTCCCTCCAGTTGGAATTTGCTGAGGCTGGAATCCCGTCTAGTTCACAGCATCCATAATCGTATAATCCTGAGCTCCCTGGAAAACAGATCCGTGGTTCTGCGACGTCATATTTAGCCAACGAATGGTTGCAAAATGAGATTATTTAGCGCACTCCATCTATCGCAGCCAGTCCAGCGGCTCTCGTTTGTCGTGGTTATCCTCCTCTCGCGTCCTGCACTGCTTAAGTACGGTGCCCTTTACCAGTCGCTATCTGGACCCCTGTTCATCAGGATGTGAGGGTCTACGAACTGGTAAATCAGCTCGATCAGAGGTTGGAAAAGCGTTGTGATTGGCGTATACGCGCACGTATTGATAGCAAAATATAGCCGCGTGGTAGCTTTTGTGATTTTACGTCTGTTTCAAAAATATACACCGAGTCACAGTCACGCTCATGTCACAATAGGTAACACTCGCAAGCGCAAAATTGACCACAGACATACTATTCCGAGGCAGGCCTACAGACGGGAAAACGCATTCGCTACTGACACAAGGCTATCTAAAGGGAAGCTCTCGGGAAGCATCCAAACGTCCATAAAACGACCACCAGCTGCCACGAGCTAACACAGACGCCTCGAATATCACAGGTGAGCAAGTTCTCGCCGACAGACCTCGGCCAAACGACATAGGGCCCTCGCGGCGAAGAACGCGGGGTTGCACGGCGCCCAGTGTGGAAGCCATGGAGATGCTCCGAGGCAGACGGTTGGGCGCTTGCTTCCGAGTATCTGCAGTCCGCAGGACATAGAGGACATGGAGGACGTGTGTATCTCAGCGACACAGAAGAGGACATGAGGACACGTGGCTCTCAGCGACACAGAAGGCCGAGTCACAAGCAGAGGTTGAAGTGCCGACGTTGTGTCCCAGCCCCTCCGAGGTTTAAATACCTTAGGTACCCCGATCTGCGCCTCACATTTTCCCAAGGTACATGCTCACCAAGGGAACAATGCAACGTTCTTCCCCTTATTTGTTGTTTGAATTAAGCTGGTCAGCCGGAGTCCTTCATTATGAAAATGCGGTCAGAGCAAGTTCTGACCTCTCATTCCTCGCCAACGACTACGGTCCATTACTTCAGATCAGGCCTCGTCCTTGCACTATGAAACTCCAATCATCACCGCAAGGCTCGGGGATGAGCGCCAAATGGAAAGTGGTCCCTGCGGTGGCAAGCGGTGGTGACGGAGCGGCGTGTCACCGCAGAACACGGTGGCAGACTTACCGCCCAACCACGATAAGCGTGGCACGCCAGCTCAAGTGACCCACTGATGAGGACGTAAACGAATCTGATGGCAAACATTCATCCGTCTGCTGCCGGTTCTTCGGTATGATAACGAAAGGTCAGCTGTCGGACCTTAGCGTCGTAACACTGAGCCGGCTGGGGGATCGAATATTGTAACGCAAGGTCGGCTGCCGGACCTTAGTGTAGTAACACTGAGCCAGCTACCGGGGCTCGAATATTATAACGCAAGTTCAGCTGCCGGACCTTAGTATAGTAATACCGAGCCGGCTACCGAGGCTCTAGTATAATCACGTAGGCTCAAATACTATAACGCAAGGTCAGCTGCCGGACCTTGGTGTAGTACCACTCAACCGGCTACAGGGGCTCAAATATTATAACGTAAGGTCAGCCTGCCGAACCTTAGTATAGTAACACTGAGCTGGTTACCGGGGCTCCAGTATAATCACGCAAGGTCAGCTGCCGGACCTTAGTATAGTGACACTGAGCCGAGTACCGAGCCTCTAGTATAATAACGGGGGCTCGAATATTATAACGCAAGGTCAGCTACCGGACCTTAATATGATAACACTGAACATTGCATCAACATTCCGTATCGTGAGTGGGAAATGACGCCTTGAATGGACGATTTCGGGCTCTTAGTTTGTGTTTCTTTAAGCAGTTTCAGTCTTCCGTTCATAGATATATTGCATTTTTCGTTGAGTTCTGTATCCATTGGGGCCTTCCCGAGGATATTTCGGCACCCATGGCATATTTTACTCGGCCAATTTCGACCCACTGACGCTGAACTGACTACCGGGGCTCCAGTATTGCAACGCAAGGTCGTCTTTCGGGACCGCATTATTGGCACTAACAGCCAGGTACCAGAACCTCCGCGTTGTGACGCAGAATGAGCTTCAGGGAACCTCGATTTTGTAACCAACGCGTAGTCGGCTACCGGGACATCAGTATAATCCCTCAAGGTCGGCTGTTGGTACGTCAACACTTTAACGCGAGGTCGGCCATTGGAACATCCCGAAGGCATCATGCCGTCGGATTGGCTACCAGAATGTCCGTATTGCGCCGCTGAGCCGGCTGCTGCGCCTCCGCTCCGGTCGCCGTCGACATGTCGACATTTTAACGTCACATGTGCGGCGCGGCCCGATCGGCGCGGGAGGCTGTCGTGGCTCTGGTCAGCAGGCCTTCCGCGGCTCCGGTCAGCAGGCCTGCCGCGGCTCCGGTCAGCAGGCCTGTCGCGGCTCTAGTCAGCAGGCCAGCCGCTGCTCCGGTCAGCAGGCCTGCCGCGGCTCTAGTCAGCAGACCCGCCGCGGCTCTGGTTAGCAGGCCTGCCGCGGCTCTGGTCAGCAGGCCAGCCGCTGCCCCGGTCAGCAGGTCTGCCGCGGCTCCCGTCAGCAGGCCCGCTACAGCTCCGGTCAGCAGGTCTGCCGCTGCTCCGGTCAGCAGGCCCGCCGCGGCTCTAGTCAGCAGGCCGGCCGCTGCTCCGGTCAGCAGGTCCGCCGCGGCTCCGGCCAGCAGGCCCGCCGCCGCTCCGCTCAGCAGGTCTGCCGCTGCTCCGGTCAGCGTGTCCCTCGGCGCTCGCTCGCAGAGCGTGCTATCTGGCGCCGTCCATTCGACAGATTCCGGTGCCTCTTCTGCCGATCAGGGATGCCTTGCTAATGGCTTGCAGCGCTTTGAATGGCGCCACTCAAACTCGGCGCTCATGCATTTATCGACGCGGTGCGTGGGCTTACAGCCGGGTATGGGCTTAGTTGAACGAGGCAATTTGGAGAAGGTCGAGTGGCGAGCATACCGGTGGAGCGTCGATTTGGTGGAGTAGGTCTCTGGGTTGGGTCGCCCCAATCTCGTTTCACCAATGAGCTCTGAAAGGGGCCGACCTTCAGTGCGCCAGGAGGCAGACATGTCAGGAGGCAGACATGTGTCTGGACCCTAATGGTGGATCCAGTATCCCGTAAGGTTTCATAGGTGTGAGATCCTGGGAGCTTTTGTGGAGCTTCAGGTGCATGCCTGACTAGATGAAGATGTGAGGCAATCGTTAAAATATAGTTATGAAAATAATTAACGAAATGAGCGACGTTTATGGCCACGGAGTAGCTCATGTTGACTGACAAACATGAATGTTGCTCTGTAAGCGTTGAGTGTTTACGCAATATAATTTAATGGTTGCACGATGCTGCATATATATATATATATATATATATATATATATATATATGCTGCATATATATATATATATATATATATATAATATATATATATATATATATATATATATATATATATATATATATATATACGTGTGTGTGTGTGTGTGTGTGTGTGTGTGTGTGTGTGTGTGTGTGTGTGTGTGTGTGTGTGTGTGTGTGTGTGTGTGTGTGTGTGTGTGTGTGTGTGTGTATATATATAACATATGTTATATAATGCAAGTTGGGATGTTTGGCATGAGTACTGCTGTGGTGAAAATCAAATGCCTAAGGTCTTTTTTTTCCTTCAATTGTTTCGGAATGAGGAGAGCGTAAAACATAAGCTCAGCAAATGTACACCATTTTAATGCAGCCACCATAATACAGCAAAGTACGGTGTCATCTGGAATGCTTGAAGCGCACATGTGTAGGTAGCGCATGGGTGATGGGAAATCACTAAAATGCCACGAATAAGAGTGACATATTGGGCTTGGTGACATTTACGTAAACAGTCCTTTGGGCCCCCTCCTCCCGCCATTTTGACGGCATTGTTTTTTTGTGCACGGGATTTTGTCACCACCCTCAGCTCTGTGTGACATATGATCCAAGTGATTCAAATTGTGGCTTCTGGATGAATCCGGGGAGGGTTAACTTGTACGGGGTGTCCAATAAGCGTGCCGATATGCATATGGTCTGCGCCACTGTGGCCGGTGCCTGCGCCCGCCTGACGCAGCCCCGCTGCACCTGCGCCTCCCTGACGCAGCCTTTGCCGCCCGTGCGCCCGTCTGATGCAGCCCCGCCGCACCTACGCCCCTCTGACGCAGTCCCACCGATGCTGTTTCAGGCTGCGGCACCTTCTCAGCATGCTGGACAAGGGCGAAGTCTCGCCCGAGATCATTCAGAACAACATCGAGTATGCGCTGCGCGTGCTGGAGACGTTCAACATCAGCGACAAGTGAGGACCTGGGCTGCTACTCTCAGTAGCCCCTATGTATTGTCGCATACTGCTGATCTTTATTACAACGTCTGTGTTTATTATTACGTTTGTGTCTAGTCCCCTATGCTTAGGCTCGTCTCAGCACATAATACACCTAAATACGCTCCCTAATAAGCATATGTGGAGAGGGACTCGCTCATCCGCTTTTTCTGTATTTCTTCTTTCTCTCCATCGTCGTCCCTCTCTCTTTCTCTCGATTTGTCTATCTCTGTCGCATCTGTACGCCGCCTGTCCATTTCCTAATTTAGCCTATTAGCGTGAAGAAATTACATTAGGCTCTCATCGCTGGTGTCTGACCAAACAAGCCAGGATGTGAGGGGTGTCGCCATCTCTGGTCGTTGATATACTGGGTCAAGCATCATTTGCGCTTTTTCTCACGCCCCGTTGCACATGAAAATGACCCTCCAAGGCTTCTTTCTTCGCATCCAGGCGAGATGAGGAATCCTTGGTTAATGAATTCATTAGTGACGCATCGATGTTTTCGGAATACTATTCTCGCTGACCGGACAAAACAAAAAACTCACACTGGAAAAAAGATGCAGCGTCTTGTGTTCGTGCTTTGTAGCAGTGTGCCTTTCAGGAGTGATGTATATTCACCTCAAAACACGTCAACTTATCAAGTCGTGCGTCCGATTCAAAGACATTCATTGAGGAAACAGCCTCGAGGCTTTTCTAGGGAAGAACAGACCACCAACCGAAAAAGGAAGTTCAGAGGGACGAATGTTGTAATGGCAGCGAAAGTAGCGAACGGGAAATGTTACGAATGTTAATGGCCTCGCTCTAACCCCGTCAATTTAACATCGACCTTTATGGAGATTGCCAGACAACTTGGTTGCCAGGTTGCTTTACGAAATGAGTACGGCATCCTTGCATGTTGGTGTGGTGTTAAGTGGAGCAGTGGCTTTCATTTTCTCGCAAAACACATTTTCTTCTCTTCTTTTTCTATTTTCGGACGGTATTGACCGAGTTGTAAGTGCATTGGACTCCCACGTGGGGAATCTGGGTTCAAATTTCCGGTTACGCCATGGCCCCAGGCGCTAATACGGCCAATACAGGCGCTGGCGCTCCAAAGAGGCTTGGCGAAGTGTGTCGCGTTTTCTTTTTTGAAAAAAAAATGAGGTAAATCAGCGGCCGAAAGTAAAAAATGTGAGCTTCAGCGTTTTGACCAGGCCTCGATGGGCTTATTCCAATCAAGGCCTCGGCACACTCATGCCACTGTAATTGGGGCAGAAGCCCTCCTCACAGCGTCAAACGAGGACCATTCCGCGGCTCTGAACCCGCGCTGCTGCCTGGTGCGTGCGCCTGCAGCTCGTGCATCGGTAGCTACCGTCAGCCAATGATAACGGTCAGATCAGGTTCCGGAAGCGTTATGTCACACGCTTGCTTGAAACGTGCCGAGCCGGGATGTGGTGCGGGTCACAGACGCGTCGCCAGTGTATACGCTGCGTCCCGATGCCATGTGTGGCTGCTCCGTGTCAGTCACTGCCGGCGGTCTGCGTCTCCGCGTCGCTCGCTGGATGTACGTGAAGCCAGCCGTGTGATATCGGCGTGATCCGTTCATACGACCGTCTCTGCGCCCGTGAACCTGTGTCTATGCTTAGGTCATACTTTAACTGAATGCGTCGCATGCTTCTCAAAAGCTGGCGCTTCTGCACGATGGCATATGCTTTTTTTCTCTCATCTACCGTCTGTCTACGCGAGACAGTGTTTAGAGAAGAGGAGCGCAAGAACCTTTGGTTGCATATGTCTCAATGCCGTGCCCGCAACTTAGTAACGCCATTTTTGTAGACGCGCCGAGGGTGTATCAATATCGGCTTTTCGTCATGGTTCTCATTTGTGCCTACAAACCAAAGAACCAAAGAAATTCCATTTCAATATTTAGATAGTCCTGTTTTTTTTGTGAAATGGTGTTTTCTCTACGATATCGCGTAATGATAGCAAGGTCACGACGCCTGCGACCGGCGCCAATACTTCAAATCGAGCTGCGACGATGATGAAATGTTTACGCACTTCTGCTCGGAAGAGATAGACACTGCGTAAATGATGTCAGCTAGCCTAATGGGATTGGCGTAGCCTCTGGATTGTAGGTTTTCTTGGGATTAAACACAACGACGTTTTGGGTAAATAAAGGTTAGTTTTAAGTCCTAAATAAACTTTTGTGTTTGCTGCTAAATGCTGTTGTCTGGTGGATGAGCGATCAGAAGCTGGCGTTTATTGTACAAATTAACGCTCAAACAGGGCATAGAAAATGTATTTCATCCATGATTAAACGTAGCATTTGTATATCATAGAAGGGTTATATTTGGCCACGTTTTGAGCCAATAAGCGATTGGTCCATGTTTTGCCGCTCTCTTACTAATGCGTGAGTATTGTACAAAATATCGTCAGAGATAGTATTACAATTGCGGTCATATTTGGCCACGTTTTCAACCAATCAAAGGTTGGCTGATATTTTGCCGCTTTCTAGCTAATGCGTAGGGTATTGTAGGTGCAAAACATCGTAATTATTGCATTTTGATCAGCGAGATATTGGGGTTATGCCATTTTTTTGTTATCGATGCGTGCTGTAAAAAAGTTATAAGATGTGAACAGTTGTATTGTAAAAAGGCATTCATGCAAACCCTTGCTCAGCAGGCAAGCATATTGAAGGCAGTTTGAGCGAACATTTTCAGCTTACGAATGACTTACATTGCAACAAGCAAACCGTCTTGAATCTGAATCTGAGCTCACTGGTGTATGAATTACATGTCACACGTTTCTCATGACGTCACCCACTTGCCATACGCGCCCAACGCCCATAGCACACGTTCTTGTGAACAGACCATATCAGTCACTAGGTGGCCACGGTTGCACGGCACCCTAGCCACCAGGTGAACCTCATCTGAACTACAGCATGTCAGTCGCCGCGTCTACTATGTATCCATTCCAGGACGCCACCCTCTGGCTTCACTTGGAGCCACAGGGGCAGCTATTCTTGTGGACGGCGCCGTGTCAGTTTCAGGCTGTATGCTGCTGCCGCGTTTGCAATAGCGGCGGGTGCAAAATTAACGCCCATTTCAGGAATGCGCTGTGGCATTCGCACTGACGGGTTTATGTAAGCGGCTCAGCTAAAGTGACACCGAAATAGCCATGTTCCATCACACCGGCGTGACCTGTCACGTTCAAGGTCACACCAGTGTATGCTGCGCCCGCCACTGCGTTCACTTCTCTGCGTGGACAACTCGACGCATTTTGCTGGTTGCGCCGCGCCTGGACCGGGCTGGGCCGGCCGCCGTGTTTGCTGCGTGTGCTGCGCCTGTGAGCGACCGATGTGCCTCGCCGTCGCAGGGCTCAGCCGGCGGCGCGTGGTGGCGGCCCGCTGCTCCACTGCCGTGCGCTCCGTCTACTGGTCCGCTGTCTGCCCCCCTACAAGTTGGTCGGCTCTCGAACGCATTCGCGCTCACGCCTGTCTGCCTGGCACGCCGTCGGTGTGGCGCACTGGGGTCAGCACGTGAACACACTTTGTTTTCGATTATCCGTTTCGAGTTCTCTCTCTCTCTCTCTCTCTCTCTCTCTCTCTCTCTCTCTCTCTCTCTCTCTCTCTCTCTCTCTCTCTCTCTCTCTCTCTCTCTCTCTCTCTCTCTCTCTCTCTCTCTCTCTCTCTCTCTCTCTCTCTCTCTCTCTCTCTCTCTCTCTCTCTCTCTCTCTCTCTCTCTCTCTCTCTCTCTCTCTCTCTCTCCTCTCTCTCTCTCTCTCTCTCTCTCTCTCTTCTCTCTCTC